CTTTATTTCTACAGAACTCCTTGACTTGTTTCATTACAAACTCAAGCTCGGTGTCTATTCTAAGCCTTTTGATAGTATTACATGTTTGCTTTTTCAACAAAAGTCTTCCATTGCTTTGAAGTTTTCAAACACTTGACTCTTCTCCTTTCAGGAAATATGCCCAAACTAGTCTAGAGAATCATCAATGCAAATGACATGTACTTAGCTTAGTACCTTTAGAATGAACTTGATATGGCCCCTAGATCTAAATGGATGTATCTTAGAGTTCCCTTTGTCTTGTGTATGGTTTGCTAAAGCTCAATCTCTTCTATTTCCCAATAACGCAATGCTCTCAGAACGCCAACTCCTGTTTTGTTGGGTCCACACCATCAAACCTCTCTTACTTCATGTTGTCATCACCTTTTTCCTCATGTGACCAAGCTCATATGCCATAGTTTTGGTGTATTTGAATCAGATGAAGAATTGATAACAACTCTGAACCAATACTGTAGATCCTTGTTAAAATACAAATTGCCAAATCTCTTTGCCTTCATCACTGCCAAAGCACCCTTTGACACTTTGACCACTCATCTTCACACCTAAACTTGCAGCCTATTCTTCTTAGAGACCCCAAAGAAAGCAAATTCGTCCTTCAGTTTGGAATGTGTTTAACATCCAAAATTGTTCTAAACCACCCCCCTCAATATTTATTGTGCCTATAACCAGCCACCTTACATACTTGATCATTTCCAAGAAACACACGTCCTTGAACGGCTACATAAGTTTACAAACACTCTTTGTTAGTATCAGATAGTGTGGGCCTCATATATCCATGACCCAATTTGTCTCAAAATCGTGTTTAGTTGCATTCACACATAGCTTTCACCATTATTATCTTTCCCCCCCCCTTTGCAATATTTGCTTCTTTTGACTTAGACTATTGTCATCGCCTCTTGCTTATTCTTCCAATTTGAAATAGGTGATCTTAATATTGTCCTTCTTCTTGCATAATTACATGTCAATTCTTCCTGTCTAAGACTTAGACTTAGACTTTCCTGAATTTGATTTCTCTCCTTAATTCTTCTCTATCCACAAACACTCCCCTCTGATTACTCCTTCATTACTACCAAATTTTTATCATCTTTTCTTTGTTTCTAAATTTGACTTAACCTTTTTTCTAGGGACAGTTCACCTCTACATAATCATAGTGTCCTCTGAAATTTTATAGATGTAGCCAATAACATAACATAAAAACGCGTGATCCTCCATCCCATTTTTTCACATCAATTTACATTAAGTCTTTGTAATTATTGATGAAAATTTAGCTAGATGTGAATTTAAGAAACTGCCGTCTAACATTTGCACATGTTGCAAAGACTTTGCTTTAATTGTAGCTTGTTCTGAGAGATTTTGTTGGGTCTTATTCCCACCTTTTTTTCCATGTTTTCCGCTACTATCTTCACTTCCAATATCGCTCTGAGTACATCGAAGTCCAATGCTAGCTTGATGATTGAAAAGGATTTTTCACCATATCCTCTCATTCAGCATATGTCATAGTCCCATGCTTCCTCTTCCTTCTCTCGCATTGCCTTCTTGATCCCTTCTTTGTCGACACGTACCAGCATTCTGACTTGCCAGATTGCCAGCTTGTTGTACCATCAAACTTCTCATTTCAGCCTTAGAGGATAAAATAATCCAGTCATGTGCCGAATCCTGAAGTAGACGCCATTACCAAGCTTTGATAACAATTTTGGTTATGAATACCCAAAACTATGAAAGTCAAATGAAAAAGTGAGAAAAATAAAACCAGTGACATAAGGATTTTACGTGGAACTCAATTGGGAAAAACATTGGGCAGAAGATGGGGATAACCACTATATCAAAGTCTCATTACAAATCTACTCTCTCGTTCTCTTCCCAATAGATTTCAGGAAGAAACGATAAAGAGGAATAGAGTAAATCTCACCATGACCTTAGGGAGTTTATATACTACAACCCTAAGTCCTTGAGAATACAAAATACCCTTACTAACACCTAAGTAGATAGGTACCTATAGAAGAATTTGGCATCATACATCACCAATCAACTAGTAAGAGAAAGAGCAAAAAAAACACGTGCGCTTTATATCTAATTCACCCAATTCAGGCTACTACGTTCCAGCAGAGTCAATATTATTTAAATATTTTTCTCACCTCTCTCGTTACAATGAATGGATTTCTATTCATTTGTCTATGCCTCATACAATAGAATAATGTCTTTATATACTAGGTTATGATAGAACCTACTACAACTGGGATCCGTATTTTTTCCTAGCCCAACCTTCTGAGGAGTTCTGACATCCTAAAGAATCTACCGCGGCTATACATGGTATAAGCCAACGCGCTTACAAGTCCCGAGGCTGTTGCCCCCTTTGACCCCCCCTCATCGCGCAGCCACTAGTTAGGACCCTGAGCTGCAACCATCACGGGCAACCTCGAGCATGTGCCCTCAAGCGAGACCTCCGACTTGACCTCATTGTTTGAAGTGGTCACCATTCCAACATATGACATTGTAAAATGTTTTACTCAATGTTTTACTTTAAATGGTGTTTTTGTAATGGTTCTGAGATAATGACTCTTTTCTTTTAGGGCTTGTTGTTTAAAACACTTGAAAACCCTCATCTTTTTTTCCTATCTGTATGTTATAGAAATGGGCAAAGACCCAGACAGTGGAGCTTGTTTAATGGGAATGATTCCTATTTAAAGACGTTTCACTAAAATTCGTATTGCATTTTAATTTCTGTTGTACCCAAATCGATAATACAATATGTTACTGGTGTTGCTCCCACCAAAATACACCAATGCTAACATCTCCTCATTAATTTAAAACACAAATATACACAAAACACCTTTATTCTTAGACCGTGGAACTAGTCTTGTGGTCAAATGGTAAGATTTAACCCATCTAAGTGGATTACCTACTATATTTGTGACTTATCAGCCCAAAGAACATTCTATAAAGAAAGTGATGTAGCATGTAGACAGTAGAATTGGAAAAAAAAAAATTGGCTATCAAGATCCGGTGAGGTCTTCTTACTTTTGGATTATAGTGTTAATTTTCAACATTCACACTTGAAAAGTTTATATATGATAATAGTATATATATATAATATTTTCGAGTAAACGACTTTTTTCCTCCCACCCAAGTGTGGCTAATGACCGTTTCCCACGCAAAAGTTTTTCAAAATCAATTTTTGCCACCCAAGTGTTTTGGGTTTGTTTGCAACAATTTCGGGGTTGTGGGAATATAGTATAATTTTGAAAAGATTACATAATACTTCATTAATCCTAATTAAGCACTAATTACCCTTAATCAATAATATGGCTATTTAGTTAACACTTTAAAACTTGATAGCCTTTTAATTAAATGCAAACTTGAGATGTCCTTTGAGTAAACTGCCCCGTTTGTTTTAGGGAAATTTTGTTTCAAATTTCAGAATTTGCAAAAAAAATTAAAAGAAAAATTGGTGGGAAATGACTTGGCAGCTCGATGATGTGGCAGATGAGGTGTCATTGTCATGTGGACTGCCATGTCATGATGTGAGAGAATGGTGTGAGAGGATGGTGTAAAGCAAGTATTAATGGATAACAGATAATGTAGGATTAGGAACCGTAGAATTGGAAAAAAATGGTTCAAGAGTCATGGTGGGGTCTTCTTACTTTGGACTAGGTTAATTTTCAACATTCACGCTTGAAAATAGTTTTTTTTTTTTTTTTTCCTCCTTCGCACTTCATAAACCGTTACTTAATGGCGCGCTCTAATTATTATCAATTAATGCTCTTTTAGTCAGTGCTCTGAAAACTGGATCAGACCGGCTGGTCAGACCGATTCAACTAAGAACCGGCGTCATCTCCAATCCAGTGTCCTCTAAAAACTGGTATTCTTAATCAAACCAGATTGAGCTGTGGTTGGACCATCGGAATAGTGTCGAATCATAGTCCAATCGCAGTCTAATTGTGATTCAATCCCATCGGATTCCGGCATCGTTCGAGGGAGATAATACCATCATAAGACTTGACAACATCTCCACGACAAAACCCATCCATTTTCAGTGGCCGCCATCCAGCCTTTCGTCGCTCGCTGTCCAAAAATCGTTCGCGTAACCGTCAACCTTATTTCTTGATTCTGGCAAATTCTGACACCGTTATAACTCCCTAACACCACCGTAAGATTCGTCGGCACCTCTACGTCATAGGCCCCATCATTCCAAACTTCAATTGGCCGTCGATCGTCGTCCACCATTGTTCACACAACTGTTGACCTTTCTTCTTGATTCTGGAAAATTTCGGTGCCGGTAGAACTCCCTGTCGCCACCATAAGATTCGCCGAAACCTATACATCAAAAGCCCCATGATTCCAAACTTCGATTGGCCATCAATCGTCGCTGCCGCCACCACTCACTAGTCTCTTCACGCGACAAGTGTATTTTGGATAGATTTCAAACCTTAAGGGAGTCATGCGTAATTATTTAGGATTATTTTTGATGGATTTCAAACATTTAGATACTAAAATATAATTTTATAGAATACGGTATAATCGACCGATCCAACCTATCAAACCATAAAACGGATCCTTGAATGGGTCAAGGCCGGTCCGATTTTCGAAACATTGCTTCTAGTTCACTTTAACCTGCATATTCTAAATTATTCTAAATTTTTAAAAGATGTCTACTTTTGTTATTTTCTTGTTATCTTTGACTTCCAAGACCAAATTTATTATTTGATTAATATATAACTATTTATATTATTTCCCAACTTTTTAACTGAAATTATAATTATAAATATTTATAGAAGTAATATTCAGTCAACGTGGTTTTAACTTTTAAGATTCTCTTGCTGTTATAACCTCATTCAACAGTACCCAATTTGTGCACATAGGAAGCTTAGCGTGTAGTCAAAGCTTAAATCTTCCCAATCAGAGACCAGAGATAGCCAGCTCTCTTACTTGTCTTCTTCTCACTACTTCTGCTGAATCAGATATCTATGGCCTCTCTTGTAGCATTCATGGGCCGGAAGCTGGAAATTGAGATCATCCGTCTCCTCAAGAAGAAGAGGCTTGACCCTGAATTTTCTGTACCCGACGAGATTAATGAACTTGATATCTTCAAGCGTGATCCCTCTGAGTTGCCTGGTAAGTGGATTCAAGATATCAATAATCAGTTAGTCAGATATCAGAAGCATTTTTTTATGTGAATTTAATTGTGATGCAGAACTTTCAAAGATAAACTGCGATGAACAAGCGTGGCCCTTTTTCTCTGAACCATATAAGAACGTAAAGGGTAAACAAGCCCACCTAACAAATGGAAACTGGGAAAAAACAGGTAACGATCGTGAAGTCAGGGATAAAAGTACTGGCAAGGGAATCGGTGGCAAAAAGAATTATGTTTACTATAAACGTGGTGGTTTACCTAAGCAGAAGATCAAGACTGACTGGGTTATGCACGAGTACTATGTTGATGATGACGACTCTCGTTATAAGGTGTATTGCTTTCTGTTTTCATTTCTCATTTTTGGAGTTTACTCAACTTCATTACTTATTATGAGTTGTCTTAATTTATGCTTTAGTGTTGAATTTTATCTATTAAACATAAATCTTCATCTACTGGTTTTCATATACTCTGTTTTTTTGTATTACTCATTTACTGGTTGAAGATTGAAATGATGATGGATGAGCTTGATAAAAAAAACTATATTTGTATCTACTTTAATTTTTTATTACAGTAGTGAGCAATATCCGTGGAAATTTGGTAAAAAAAATTGAGCTATGTTCTCTGCTGAAACCACATATATTGTGAAAATTACTCACAGACGTGAGTCTGGATACAAGTTATTATGATGAATTAAAGTTTTTTTGTTCTGTTTTCTCCTTTGGTGAGTATGTACTAAAGCATTCTAGACGATCCAACACATTTCACTTTTATCATTTGTTTTGCAGAAGGATTTTGTTTTCCGCTACGTAGAAAAAAATCCAACGGGCAAGCCTAATACTTCAACTCCCGATGATGGTCAACCGAGTCACCGTTTGGCTTCTGATGCTGAAACCTATGCAGAAAAAACTTCTACAGAGGTGAGATAGAGCATGTGTCTCGGAAACTTTTCAACATCAAGTAATACATAATGCAGGAGGAAAGTATCAAGATCTAATACTTGTTTATCTATGATTTTTGCTTCAGGTAGAATCTCAGCAACCGTCGACTCACTGTTTGGGCAATGAGTTCTTGGAAGTGAGAAAAAATCATCTTATGGGAACTTTTCATTACAAATAGATATCTTCTGTTCACACAATTAATTCTTGTTTCTCTATAATTTTTATTTCAGGTAGAATCTGAGTTACAATCAAATCACAGTTTGGTTTCTGATACAGGAAATTATTTTGCTACAAATACTTCTACCCTGGTAAGGAAGATCACGTGTCTTGTGTAGTTTTTGGTATCAACTTATATATATGGTGCATGATAAACTTATTCTCGCAATTAATCCTTGTTGTCTATGATTCTTACTACAGGAAGAACCTCGACTACTATCAAATCAAAATTTGGGCTTTGATACGAGAAATTATGAATTTGCAGATAATACTTCTTTAATGGTGAGGATGCATGCATAACCTTATTAATGCTTCATGAACAAATTATATTCTCACAATTAATATTAACGCTTGTTTATCTATTCTTACTTCAGGAAGTAGAACCTGGGCTACTGTCAAATCACAATTTGTTTCATGATCCTTTTGCACCAATTACATCTTCAATGGTAAGGATGCGCATGGCTTATGGTTGCTTTTAGTATCAACTTATGCTGTCTGTCATCAAAAACCGTATTCACACAAGTAATACTTGTTGGTCTATATATGATTCTTTACTTTAGGTACAACCTCAACTACTATCAAATCGCGATATGGAATTTGATCTCAGAAATCATTTTGTGCCAAATACTTCAATGGTAAGGATAATTTTGTTTAGTATGAGCATATACACATATATATGGTACATGAACATATTGTTGCATATAAATCTAATACTTGTTTCTATATGATTTTTGCTTCAACCTCAGCTACTACCACATCAAAATTTGGATTCTTTAATGGTTAGTAAGAGTATGCTGGTTGTTTTCAGTATTAACTTATAATTGCGCATGAAAAATATATTCAACCAGCTAATGCTTGTTTGTTTATAATTTTTACTTCAACAGGTGAGACCTCAATTACCATCAAATCACAATATGGTTTTTGATCTAATGAATCATTCTACACCATGTACTTCTTCAATGGTGAGGATGAACATGCTGACTGTTCTTAGTAATTACAAGTATATATATATATAGTAAATGAAAAATATATTCACACAATTCATGTTTGTTTGCTATTAATTTTTTCTTCGGCAGGTGGGACCTCAACTACTATCAATTCAAAATATGGCTTTTGATCCAATAAATCATTTTGCATCAATTACCTCTTCAATGGTGAGTATGCACGACTTACAGTATTTTGTAAATCAACTTATATATGGATGTAGTAGTACATGAATAACAGATTCGCGGTGGACTAACGCTTGTTTGTCGATGTTTCTCATTTACAGCAGGTAGAATCTCAACTACTATCAAATCAGAATTTGGTTTTTGATCCAATGAATAATTCTAGACCATGTACTTCTTCAATGGTGAGGATGAACATGCTAGTTGGTTTTTAGTAATTACAAGTTATATATATGGTAAAAGAAAAATATATTCACACAGTTCAAGTTTGTCTGTTTTCAATTTTTTCTTCGGTAGGTGGGACCTCAACTACTATCAAATCAAAATATGGTTTTTGATCCAATAAATCATTATGCATCAAATACCTCTTCAATGGTGAGTATGCACAAATCAGTATTTTTAAAATCAACTTATATATGGATGTAGTAGTACATGAATAATAGATTCGTAGTGGACTAATGCTTGTTTGTCGATGTTTCTCATTTACAGCAGGTAGAATCTCAACTACTATCAAAACAGAATTTGGTTTTTGATCCAATGAATAATTTTGCACCATGTACTTCTTCAATGGTGAGGATGAACATGCTGGTTTTTTTTTCAGTAATTACAAGTTATATATATGGTAAATGAAAAATATATTCACACAGTTCAAGTTTGTCTGTTTTCAATTTTTTTCTTTGGCAGGTGGGACCTCAACTACTATCAAATCAAAATATGGTTTTTGATCCAATAAATCATTATGCACCAATTACCTCTTCAATGGTTAGTATGCACATGACTCATAGTAGCTTTTAAATCAACTTATATATGGATGTAGTGTATGAATAACAGATTCACAGTGGACTAATGCTTGTTTGTTGATGATGTTTTTTATTTACAACAGGTAGAATCTCAACTACTATCAAATCAGAATTTGGTTTCTGATGATTCAAGAAATCATTTTGTGCCAAATGCTTCTTCCATGGTATGAGAATGAAAATGCTCCCTTATGATAGTTTCCAGTATTAACTTAATAAAATATTTTCCATGACAAATGTATTTACACAACTAAAATGCTTGTTCATCTGTATTTTTATTCCAGGTAGCACATGATCAGCTACTATCAAATCACAATTTCTTTTCTGATCCAAGAAATCATTTTGCGCCAAATACTTGTTTAATGGTGAGGATAAGCACGAGTTATGGTAGATTTAGTATCATGCTACACAAATATATGGTGCATATATAAAAAACTTATTTACACAACTAATGCTTGCTTTGTCTCCTCTTTCGTATTTCAGGTACATCCTCAACAAGTTGCAGAATTATTTGCGCAATTCACTGCACTATTTGAGCGTTATTTGCTGAATCATAGCTCAGTGCCCACACCACCGTGGCCAACTAATCCACAAGAAGGATCCTATTCCTCCTTGTACTCAAACGGCGCCTTTGGTAATAACTGTACTTCCTCGAGCTCTCAGTTTCATGGAGGGCTTGAAGATGCCCGGATTGCACAAAGGAATTTACAGGATAAACATCCTGAAGAAGTAAATAGACTAGACGACTTGCGCAGAGAAAGATAACAAATGGATAAGAGAAGATTCTAGAGTGAAGACCTATCAGAAGTAAGAGCTTAGAAGAAGGAGATGGTGGGGCCTAAATAGACTAGACGACTTGCAAAGGAACGATTTCCGTACACTGTGATTCGACGTCAACCATTACTTAACGGTCCCGTGTACTAACGTAAGAATTTATCAATCAATCTTCAAATTCTTACTAAATGCATATCTTTAATCTTTTCATACTTAACTTCTTAAAATGGATATTTATATTATTTTCTAATTAAAATGGACCTATAGTAACCTGACGTGATAATAACACATCATCATCTTCTACAACAAAGAACTAACGATACAGTATTCTACTCCACGGGTTTGAAGATTCTTAACGGGTTTATATGCCATGAGTAATGTAACGCTAAAATCTTTCGTGAATAAAAGGTCGTCCAACATTTATAGATGTTCGCTCATATTTAATGGATTCTCGTTCATATTATATGGACGAGCGTCAATCATCATCAAAAAAATTTAAAAGAAAAATAATGGACGTCCGTTCATCTTATATGGAGGGTGTATATTTACTATATAGACGCCCATTCCAAATTTTTTTTAAAAATTTACATTCAATGGACAGGCGTCCCTTTTAGATGGACGTCTGTCCATTGTTTAATTTAAAAAAATTTACATTCAAATTTTGGCTCAATCCAAAAATTGAATGAAGATAGCAACATTTATTTTTGTCAATAGTCAAAGTAATTGAACAAGCTTCATTAAATTTTTGTCTATATTCAAAGTAATTGGACAAGTATCATATTCTTAACTCAATTAGGATTCACAATTAATGCATTAAATAAATTAAAAAAAAATTAATATTAAAAGATGGACGCCCGTCATCTTATGAGGACGACTGTCGATAACAGGGTCCATAACAATTTAGGTCAAATTTTTTTAGTTTAAACTATGAATGAGCGTCCATTCTAGGTGGACGACCATCCATATAATATGGACGGGAATCCATTTCAAATGAACGACCATCCAATAACAATGGACGGTCGTCCATATTTGATGAATGGCCGTTCATTCACATAATATTTGTTAACGTGATACGTGACTCGTCTGATTTAGTGGACACATCGTTCGGTATAAAAATTCGGTGCAAAGCGTCGGTGCTCGTAGCATTTTTCATATGCCATACTCACTCTCCCTCAATACTACCACTTTTGGGAATATAAGAGCTCTGCTTCTAAGGGTTTTTGATTAAATGACCATATTGAGTTTAAATTTAATTAAAAGGCTATCAAATTTCAAACTCTTAACTAAATAGCCTTATTTTTTATGAAGAGTAATTAAACATGATTAAGCACTAATCATGTTTTAATTAGGAGTATTGTCTAATCTTTTAAAAATTATACTATGTCCCCAAAAACCTGAAATTGTTGCAAACAGACCCAAACCCAAAACAAATTCATTTTCCTCCTCCCTCCTGCCATTAATGCGTTGGAACTGCCCTCCCGTGGTTGTTGTATTTTCTTAGCAAAACCGAAGATCTTCTTCTTCGTTTACATCTTCTTCTTCCTCTGCCATTAACACATTTTTCTTCCTTTGCCATTAACATCTTCTCCGCCAAAGATCTGCCTCTTCCTCCTCCTGACATTTTGTCCAAGTATGTGTATCTCCTATTTGCATTTTATATTTCTATTTATAAAGATTTAATGATGGATTGGGTTTGGGTTATTATTTCTATTTAGTGGTTTAGGTTCTTGGGTTGTGTTTGATGTAATACAAGTTGAAATGAGTGAGATTTGTTAATGATTTTCTTGCATTGTGGGTAGCTGGGGGTGGTAGCACCGATTATAGGTGGAGATAACTGAAAATGTATTCTAGAGCTAATTGATCGCTTAAGCGATTTGGTATATCGCTTAAGTGATCTGGTATAAGTCTAGTATATAGCAGCAGATCGTTTAAGCGATCTGGTATAAGTTTGGTATATGGTAGTAGATCGCTTAAGCGATTAGATATATGGCAGCAGATTGCTTAAGCGATCAGGCTTATTTATACCAAATCGCTTAAGCGATATACTGGATCACTTAAACGATCCAGTAAGTGATACACCAGATCGCTTAAGTGACTTTACAGATGCTTTTTAAAATCTGTCAACCCTTAATATATCGGTTAATAATTTTTTTTTCTTGCATTAATATAGGCACTTGGCTATTACTAGACATGAGACAAGTTGTTTTGGGTGTTGAATATTTTGGTGAGTGGCTAGATGTTGTTCTGTTTACTTGTTCACTAGTTTCTCTTGGTTGTATGTCAATCTTTTGTGGTACATTAAACTAATTTTATATCCTTGTATTCCCAGCTATGCCATCAAGAAGAATGATGAAATCGAGAGAGTTGCTAAGGCCAACCGTTGAAGACTTATTAGTGAATCATAAAGCAATTTTAATTGTTTTGAAGAGTGCTTTATGAGTTTACCTTTTTCGTCTCATGGACTTGTTATGAATGCTTTGTTGTTTTTAATTTTTTATGTTGACAATTGGATATCTTTTTGTTTGAAGTTTTGAACATATGATAGTAAGGATGCGTCTAGTTACTTAATTGTTGCTCTTATTGTGCTACTAAATTAATTCAATATTGAGTTGTTATTGTGCTACTAAATTAATTCAATATTGAGATGTTATTGTGCATATAAATTCATTCAATATTGAGATGTTATCAATATATGATCGCTTAAGCTAATTTTCTTGAATTTGAGATGGAAATGTCAAGTAAAAATAAAATTACTCTTGGTCGCTTAAGCGACGTTGGCTATTGCTTAAGCAATCACGGCTTATCTGTACAGGATCGCTTAAGTGAGAGCTGACATCGCTTAAGCAATCTTGAATTTGAGAAAGAATAGTCAAGTACAAAAAAAATTGGCCTTGGTCGCTTAAGAGACGTCGGCTATCGCTTAAGCAATTATAACTTATCTATACAGGATCGTTTAAGCGAGAACTAACATCGCTTAAGCGATCTTGAATTTGAGAAGGAATAGTCAAGTACAAAGAAAATTGGCCTTGGTCGCTTAAGCGACGTAGG